TTCCTACCATCAGTCCTGGTCGTTAAGTCCCCAAAGTGGGCGAACCCTCTTATTCCTGGGCTGTCACCACGACGACCCCCAACCGCTTCCTACGACCTTGTGGACATGGTTCAACGGTCAAAGACCTACGTTGATTAATCATGTCATAATGTCATATAAATCCAGCTGAAAGCTGGTCCGGAAAACTCCAAAAATTGGCAAATGGGCAAAATGATCTTCATCGTGGACTAGCCGATCCTTTCGGGGTTCACAACCAGCAGCGTAGAGATAAACCAACAATTATAACGGTTCTGTTTAAATATGACCGGCATGATGAACATCCACCTAGAACAGTTACTTTGGTGTGACCATGCCAGGCCTTTGAACCACACCCATAATGTCGCTGACATATCTGGGTGCAAAATTCAGACCCTGATCACTGACGGCTACATCCCCATGCTTTGATGATCGAATCATATCTGCACTCTCTCTTCCTCGTCTGATCGCAGATCCCCGGCTTGTTGGTTGAGTTGCTGAATTCCGTGCATAGTTATGTTCCCTGAAGTACCTGCATTCTGCCAGTTTTTGGTGGTTAAATCACTTACCGTGCCGTCCAATCTGCTAAATGTGAGGGGTTGGAAGACTACTTTTGAGAGAGCCAATCCCCTTAACCACTGGGAAGCATAAAAATAATTATTTTACTATAGCGGACTACCACTTAGAATATTATAAATTATTTGAATAAGATAGAATATGTTTTTTTTAGAGATTTTATTTGGTTCAGATAGCAGTTAGAATATCACCTTTAATAATGCAGATAGAATATGCAAAAATAATCATTTCAGCAAAAATAAATAACCACTATTTTGCAATACGAATCACCATGAATGCAGATAGAATATGCAAAATAACATTTCCGTAACAATAGATAACCATTATTATGCAATACGTCTCAGCACTTATCTTCAGCTTTCGTCATAACCATTTTTTTTCTCTCTAATGCTGGTTTGATGACTTTTCCATACAATATTAGATCATATATTGATTTTGTTTAATGATTTTTTGAATAATCATGATTTTTAGGGATATTCTAAGTGCATGCCATCCTAGCAAAAATCAAGAAATCATTGGTTCTTGGATATTTTTCCATATTCTAACTGCATTTTTCATATTCTAAGTGCTAAATGGCCTCATCTTAAATTTCAAATAAAATCAACGTTCGGGACTACTATGTTCTGTAATTTTTTATTTAATAAATCTTAATTTTTCATATTCTAACTGGGTGTCCGCCACTGTAGCTTTTTTGGGCCTCAGATTAGCATTTCCAAAATTGGGAAAACGGTTTTCAGGGTCTATCTTAACGTGGCATATCCATAAAATAATATCCCAAGTCTTAGTTTATAGATATATAATACGTATACATATGTATATATATATATCTCTCTCCCATGCTATCCCATCATATCCCCATAAAATGTTTGTTTCGCTGCAGAACTCCCCAACCGTCCCTGCGATGGGCCAATCATTCGCCCTTCCTCGCAACATGCCGACAAAGGACTCCCGTCGTTCTTCAGCCCATCGCCGCCTCGGGCATCATGACAAACCACTACTAACCATTAGAAATACAATATCTGGTTGGTGGTTAATAGTGGTTAATAGTGGTTAATAGTGGTTAATAGTGGTTAATAGTGGTTAATAGTGGTTAATAGTGGTTAATAGTGGTTAATAATGGTTAATAGTGGTTAATAGTAGTTAATGATGGTTAATCATTGGTGAATTATGGACTGGTTGGTGGTATACCTACCCCTCTGAAAAATATGATAATCAGTTGGGATGATGACATTCCCAATATATGGAAAAATAAAAAATGTTCCAAATCACCAACCAGATACGATTACCATGTATAAGCATCATGAATAGTGGTTATATAATTGGGATTAATAGTGATTTATAATCATAATTATCCATCATTAATCATCAATCATCAAAAAATCATCAATCCTCATTCATCACCAATATTAACCACTATTCGTCACAATTACTCACTAATCACTATTAAACATGGTTTTCCCCTAACATTTACGCACCATCCCGGCCCTGAGCCACTGAGTCTCCCTGACTGCATCTCCCGGCGCGCAGAGACCACGCGCTCGGCGCAGATCGAGGCGCAGTAGGAGGCCGTCTTCTGAACCTCGGCGAAAATGATTTCACCACGGAAAATGGCGATATCTAGACTTATCTAGAAATACAAATCGGTATAAATGTAGACATAAATATATATATATATATGTGTGTATGCATGTATGCATGTATGCATGTATGCATGTATGCATGGATGTATGCATGGATGTATGCATGGATGTATGCATGTATGCATGTATGCATGTATGCATGTATGCATGTATGCATGTAAGCATGTATGCATGTATGCATGTATGCATGTATGCATGTATGCATGTATGCATGTCTGCATGTCTGCATGTATGCATGTATGCATGGATGCATGCATGTATGCATGCATGTATGCATGTATGCATGTATGCATGTATGCATGTATGCATGTATGCATGTATGCATGTATGCATGTATGCATGTATGCATGTATGCATGTATGCATGTATGCATGTATGCATGTATGCATGTATGCATGTATGCATGTATGCATGTATGCATGTATGCATGTATGCATGTATGCATGTATGTCTGTATGTCTGTATGTGTATGCATGTATGTCTGTATGTCTGTATGTCTGTATGTCTGTATGTCTGTATGTCTGTATGTCTGTATGTATGTCTGTATGTCTGTATGTATGTATGTATGCATGTATGTATGTATGTATGTATGCATGTATGCATGTATGCATGTATGCATGTATGCATGTATGCATGCATGTATGTATGTATACATGTATACATGTATATATGTATACATGTATACATGTATACATGTATACATGTATACATGTACACATCCACAAAGGGGTACAGAGGGGTTGGATTTATAGATAGACAGACAACCAGGTAGGCAGGTAGATAGATAGATAGATAGTGGGTGATACCAACAACTCCTGGGTGTCCGGACTCCTTCTTGCATCAGTTGCATGATTTCTTCCCTCACGGAGTCCATCAAACGACTCACATCCAGCGCCAAATCCTGGCATGTTTGGTGATCAGCTCCAACTGGAAGAGCCCCAATTGGCCATTTACCTCGTGAAAATTGTGATTTACCTAGTGAAAATGGTGATTTACCTAGTGAAACTTGTGATTTACCTCGTGAAAATGGTGCTTTACCTCGTGAAAATTGTGATTTACCTAGTGAAATGTTTGATTTACCTAATGAAAATTGTGATTTACCTTGTGAAAATGTTGATTTACCTTGTGAAAATGTTGATTTACCTAGTGAAAATGGTGGTTTACCTAGTGAAAATGCTGATTTACCTAGTGAAAACGGTGCTTTACTTCGTGAAAATTGTGATTTACCTAGTGAAAATAGTGATTTACTTCGTGAAAATTGTGATTTACCTAGTGAAAATTTTGATTTACCTAGTGAAAATGGTGATTTACCTTGTGAAAATGTTGATTTACCTTGTGAAAATGTTGATTTACCTAGTGAAAATGGTGGTTTACCTAGTGAAAATTGTGATTTACCTAGTGAATGATTTACCTAGTGAAAATAGTGATTTACCTCGTGAAAATGGTGATTTACTTATTGAAAATTGTAATTGACTTAGTGATAATGGTGATGTACCTAGTGAAAATTGTGATTTACCTAGTGAAAATTTTGATTTACCTAGTGAAAATTGTGATTTACCTAGTGAAAATTTTGATTTAGCTAGTGAAAATGCTGATTTACCTAGTGAAAATGTTGCTTTACCCAGTGAAAATTCTGATTTACCTAGTGAAAATAGTGATTTACTCGTGAAAATTGTGATTTACCTAGTGAAAATAATGATTTACCTCGTGAAAATGGTGATTTACTTATTGAAAATTGTAATTGACTTAGTGATAATGGTGATGTACCTAGTGAAAATTTTGATTTACCTAGTGAAAATAGTGATTTACTCGTGAAAATTGTGATTTACCTAGTGAAAATTTTGATTTACCTAGTGAAAATTGTGATTTACCTTGTGAAAATGGTGGTTTACCTAGTGAAAATTGTAATTTACCTAGTGAAAATAGTGATTTACCTAGTGAAAATTGTGATTTACCTAGTGAAAATTGTGATTTACCTAGTGAAAATGGTGATTTACTTATTGAAAATTGTAATTGACCTAGTGAAAATTTTGATTTACCTGTTTACCTAGTGAAAATTGTGATTTACCTCGTGAAAATGGTAACTACATCAGTCTTAATCTGGGTCCAATCACAGCATTTCCCACTGGGGTCTCCCGACGGGCGGCGGATGACTGCTCATGCCTGCGATCACACAGCAGGGTCTACCGCCAGGAAGCGGTCGGAACTTGATCCATATCCATCCATATCCATCCATATCCTATCGGAAATAGATATCCATAACCAGGTGAAGTTTGATGATGTCTTTTCTGGTGTATATATATATATATAGGTACTATATTATAATATTAAGCTCTATATATATATACTATATATATGCAATGTTTATCTCCAAATAGTACCAAACTGTCGGAACTGTCGGAACTGTCGCCTGACGCCCAGGGGACGAGTTGACGTGACTTTGCGACGGCTTGAGCCACAGCTGCGCGTCACATGGTCGACGATGTCAGCCGTTTCACCGGTTTCACCTGCCCAATCTTTGGGGATATCTGGATCTATCCACCAAGTCGAAACTGCATCATTTCAACAGTCATTTCTGCCGTGTGAAACACTGATCAATCTATCCACCAAGGTTGGTTCTTTGAGTCGAGATCTCTTGAACTACAATTATCCATTGATGACATCACCAGTTTTGTTGGTTCGAAGTGAGTTCACCCCCCATCTTTGTTGCTTAGCAACACCGCAGGCACAGCACCAAGCACCGGCTTCATCGCCACATGCCGTGCGCACATCTCCAGCTGGATCATTCCAAAGTCCAGAGCCGCGCCTGCGACTGATCAACTGCTTGGTGATTCTCAATAGGAAAACCCATGGTTTTTGGTGTCCCCATAGTTTAGGAAGCCCCCAAATGGCTATCATTTGTTCTTCCTGGCACCGTACCCCTTACATTTTGCTTGAACTCAAGCCAGGAGAACAACTCGAAACTTGATCTTTACAAAAGAAAAACATTGCGGATGTGTCAAAACAATGGTATTCTGGTTCTCATAGCTAAAGGGTTGCTGTTCATGGATGCTCAGCCCCCCATTCCAATTTTTTTTCCATTGGTCTATACTGTTCCCAAAGCTATTGACCCATCTGAATCAAATTGCTCCCCCAAAGGCGAAGCCCCAAACTGAGGTGCCAACTCTGGTGGCGGCATAGCTCCTGCAGTCAGAAATCCGCTGGGCTTGGAGTACTGTATCTCCACCAACTCCATACCTCCAGAACCCCCTTGCCCAAATTGCATCGCGAAATTTGGATATCAAAAAAGAGGTAGTATAAAGTAGCATAGATCATTTTGGGCAGGATCTAAAAAAACGGTCATTACGTGTCCATATTTCGGCCACTCATCCCTTCACCATCTGCCACGATCCTGGCCGCACCCGATCCTGGCACGGCACCTGGATGATGTGAATAGGGCACCGACATGCCCAACTGCTCACGCTCCTGGGAGAACGGGATCCCTGCATTGCTAACTCAAATATAACTTCAAAAGGTGGGAAGATGCAGCGGATGGAAGAAATCTTGCACCAGTTTAGGGCTGTGGTTTATCTCACTATTGACAGGGTTTCAGCCATCCAGGTGGTGCAGGATTTTTTCCTCCACAGTAAGTTAGATATTGAAAAGTATCAGAGGTAAATACAGAATAAAAAAATGGGTTGAAGGTAAGTGGATTGTGCAATTCCATGGTATGCTGGTTGCAGTGGGATCAAGCTCTAGTAGCCCCACAACAGCTATGTATCGGCGTCGTTCAAACCTCAGTCCCTTGGCCACGCATCTGAGTGGCCGAACGTCAGCTGGGTATTGATCAGCAGAAAAGAGACCTGCCATGGCAGCAATTGGGTGTGTCTGAAAATAGGGTTAATATTCCCAATGAAATAGCCATTTAATAGGGATAATGATCATTAACCATTGGGTTTAGGGGTACACTATTTTCAGACACACCCAATTGATAGCATCAGGCTTGATCGATGGGAATTCGTGACGCAATCCGCCAGCTGGTGAAGACTTGAGTTGGGCGAAGAGTCCAGGGTGTCACAAGATCTTTACCCAAGATAACATAGACCTGAGAATTGTCCATTTGATGCCCTTGCGCCGCACCTCGATCAATTGTCTGGGCCTTGGACGCGAGAAGTTCCACTCAGGAATGGAGCAAAGATATCAAAGATGTGGAAATGGAGGCCAGCTACAAGTACCTTGATTCATCACCTCAAGCACTACACCCAAAAACAAACAGCGGGGAATCCCTACCGAGTCCAAGCTGGAATCCGGAACAGTCAAAAAATGCCCAAGGCAATACAAATCAGGAGCTGTCATCTGGGAGGTACCACTTCAACTAGTATCGAATTCCCTTCATGGTTGACCATACATGCATCTGCGTGGCGGGAATCTGCTGATGGTCAGTCCCTCGCTCCTACTGTTCTCCAATGTATAGCTAGGGAAACTAACCAGGGTTATCAACCAGGTAATGCAGTAAAGCGGAGACGAAAGCATGGTTTGGCATGGTCTTTGGTACCTCCAAATAGAAAAATAAGGTAAATGAGGTATGGTTTATCATTGAGTCTCTCCCATTAAAGTTGTTCAAACAGAAACCCCCTTGTTTTGATGAAAAAGGAACCATATTTTCACAGACTTAATAAACCTGGTCAGACGAAAACATCTTATGTTTGTTTGATTTCTCAAGATTGGGATGCCCAAACCGTTTGTTTTCCCGATCAAAAATGACGTGGATAACTTGAGGTTTTCATGTAGGAAATCCTCAACCCCCATTCCTGTTGGTTAAATCCAAGCTCTCGTTGCTTAAATCCCCGATTCCTTGGGGCAGGTGTGCAGTTCCACTTGGGTCCCCCCACCACAAGGGGCCCCAGATGCATGCCACGCCCACCGGTGACGGACCGCGTTTGCGGAGACACGCCTCGGGAAGGCGGACAAGGTCTAAAAAGCCAAGTGCTACCCTAGTTTTTGAGTACTATGGTACCAGCCAAGTTTGATTTGAAACTCCCTATCTGCATTGCAAACTAGTTGCTCTACCACCCAGTGACCTGCTGCTGTTGTTGCTGCTGTTGTTGTTGTTGTTGCTGTTGTTGTTGTTGATGATGATGATGTTGCTGTTGCTGTTGCTGTTGCTGTTGTTGCTGTTGCTGTTGTTGTCGTCGTCGTCGTTGTTGTTGTTTTGGACATGTTTATCCCCAAACTTAGGACCTAACGGATTCCTCTCCGAACGTTTGCTTTGCCCACCATTGACCATGGA